GTTCCGAGCTAATCCAGGCGGGATCCATGGCGGATCCTGGGAAAGGAGCGGGACGGGGACACGGCAGAGGCGCCGCCACCCCGCAAAGCCGCTTTTCTGTGTGTGAGCCCTGTGGGGGCGGGGAGGGGGAACACGGGAAAYGGGGTTTTTGCCGTGGCCTCCCTCCCTCCCGCGGGCCTCGTGTTCCTTTGTCCTTTCACCGAGCCGGGCGGGCGCTGTTCCGGCTGCCATCACCGCGTCCCCACCCGGCCTCTCTCCCCCACAAACGCCAAGCTGAGGGGTTTTATATCTTTCTCTTTTCTCAGGGGTTTCTCGGCCACGCTTTCCCCCATCCAACAGCAAATATTGTAATTTTGGATTTCCTCATAGCATCGGTGGTTTTGGGGATAAACATCCTCCCGGACCAGCCACGCCATGGCCCTGCCGTGTCACCCAGGCCACGTTGTCACAAACAGGGCCCTGCACAAACCCTCCTGCAGCTAACGGCCTGGGGAATTAGAGCCCTTTTGCGGATTGTTTGGTTTATTTGGATTACTCCGTTCATTCGAATTCGCTTATTCGGATTATTCGCTTTATTCGCATCATTCSSATTATTCGSTTTATTCGCATCAGCGTAGGGCCTGGAGCCCTCCAAGGGGACAGGACCCTTCCTGGATCCCCCCGGGGGCAAAGAACACCTCGGGGAAGGGCGGCTGTCATTCGGGGGTTATTATTGGAGTCTCCTCTCCCGCAGGGGCTCTCCGGGGCCCGGTTTTTATTTCAATAACCGGCACCGTGCCCGCGGCCCCGGGATTTGAGGGGTGATGGAGCCCTTGTGCATTTGGGGGGTTTCACGCCCACCACCCCCGGGAAGTGGAGCGGGGGGCACCGGGCCGGCTCGCTGACGGGGGATCGCCGTTGCCGACCCCGGGGGTGTTTTCCCGGTCCCGGTTCCCCCCCCCAAGGGCCCCCCCAGTCCCGGGAGGCGGTGGCGGCCCCGCCCCGCCCGCGCGTTCCCGCCAGCGGCGGCCAATGGGCGCGCGCGGGGCGCGCACGGGGCTTTTCCGCGCCAAACTCCAAAGCCCGCGGAGAACGCGCGCGGCACCGGCTCCAGCACCGCCACCCCGGTGAGTCCGCCGGGAACCCCCCCAAACCGCGGCACCGCCACCCCGGTGAGTCCGCCGGGAACCCCCCCAAACCGCGGCACCGCCACCCCGGTGAGTCCACCGGGAACACCCCCAAATCCCCCGCCAAACCCCATGGCGATCCCGCCGCGGGCCGGGCAGCGGTCGGGATGGTGGCACCGGGCACGGGAGGACAGCGAGGGGCGCAAGCGTTTCCCCGCCGTGCCCGTGCCGGGGCGGTGCGGGGAGCGGCGGGAGCGGTGCCCCGGTGGTGACAGCTGACTCGGGTGTCCCGGAGGGGACGCGTCGCTCGGGGCTGCGGGAGCGGGACCGACCCCCGCCCCTGAACGAGCCCGCGGGACGGGGTGTGCCCGGCAGGGGCGGTGCCCGGTGGCCCCGGTGCCCGGCGGGCCCGGGGAGTGGCATCGCCCCGGGGGGTGCGCGGGGATGACGCGGCCGGGTTGGGGCGAATCCGTTCGCTGCGGGGGTCGCTGACACCCCGCGATTCCCCGGCTGTCCCGGGGGTGGCTGTGCGGGTCAGGGCTCCGCGGGGCGGGCTGTGCGGGGTTATCCCGGTCCCACCGTGCCGCGGGGACGCGCCGGGGGCGCGGGCGGTGCCGGTGACGGCTCCTTTAAGAGCACGCGCTCTCCCCCGCCCCCCGCTCCCCTTTATGCTCTCCCCTCATTTGCATAATCGCGCGAGACTTGGCGCGTGGGCGCGGCGGGCGCGTTTCAATTGTGGCGCGAGATACGGCCGGCGCGAGCGGAGCCGTTAGGCTCCCGCGTGGGGGTGGGCGGGGCTAAGCCCGCTCGGCCAATCAGCGCGCGAGCCGGCCGGGCCGCCAGCCAATGGCGTGCGGCGTTGCCGTGAGGGAGGCGGGGCCCCGGGCCCGCCCCGCCGGTGCCGCCGCCTCAGCGCGGGCCCATTCCCGGCGCAGGACCGGCGCCATGTGGATCCAGGTGCGCACCATGGACGGCAAAGAGACGCACCGCGTGGACTCGCTCTCCAAGCTCACCAAGGTGGAAGGGCTGCGCCTGCGGATACACGAGGTGTTCGGCGTGGAGCCCGAGCGGCAGCGGCTGTTCTACCGCGGAAAGCAGGTACCATTGACAGCATCGCGCAGCTCGGACACCCCCGCCCGGCCCCGTCCTACAACCCCGCTCTTCTCCCCCTCCAGCTGAGGACGGAGATTTTAATTTATTTATTTTTAATTGCGTGGAATTGAGGGGTTTTGCTGCCATCTAGTGATGCTCYGGCCCACTCCCGCGCTGCTCCTCCCGTGGGTTTGCCAGGAGAGGAGCCAGCTGCAGAGTAGCCTTTATTTTCGCTTATTATTTTCCATCTAATGTGTTGCTCTTCTGCCTTGACATCGCCTTTATGAAGTGTCTGAAAATTACCAGAGATTTAATGGTCTTTAAAGTGCTTAATGTTTTTGAGCCTTGCAAGTTTTACTGCTCTGAAAGCCATAAAGATCCCATTTTTCTTTGTAAATTGGGATAAGTGCCTCATGACTTTCAAGTTCTTCGTCTCTGACATCAAATTCTCACTAGGTACAGATCACTGGAGTGGCTCAGTGGTGTATTATGTTCTYAATAATATGTTTATATTCRCTGTTTAACAACTGTTYTCRTCCCTGTGAGTTAATAATGTAATTAAGTTAGCATTGAAGTCAATCAAAACCATTTTAAATTATAGTTGCTRCATCCTGCCTAATCCTGTGCTGCTAAATCTTGGTACTGGAGAAAATTCTGATCTGGTGGTTGATTATTAGAGCATTTAATTTAAGAAAAAAGCAGTGAGATGCTGAGTTGGCTGAGGACGGACAACTTTTTTCTAGCTGCTTTTTCCACCTTTCTTTCCTTTTTAGACAGTTTGAGCTAACTGTAATTAGCAGRTGTGGCTGTAAAACATGGAATACACCTGGAGTACCCTAAATCTAAGTTCAGGTACCAGTTCTAGTATAAAAAGAAGCTTGTAGGATGGTGTGAGATCTCTGGAGGGCTGTTGGGTGTAACYCACCTCTGTCAGTGTAGATCTGGATGCATTAATTAATTACCCATTTGTGTTGTAAATGGAGTGATAAGGGGGAATTGTTTCAGGGCAGGTTTCAGGCCAGCTGTCAGCCTTACCCTGAAGTCTGTGCAGACAACTGGGGTTAAACAGATTTTCAGGAGGAGTGGTGACTTCTCAGTCAGGATGATCTTGCCCTACAAAGGGAATCCTTCCTCCTGCAGTTCCTTAATTCAGGCAGAAACRTTCCCAAGCGTGATCCAACCTCTCTTAGGCCTTGTTCCCTCCATTCCCAAAGCTGGAAAAGATTCCAGCTTTGTCTGGCTTTTGGAATCCCTGGAGAAGTTCGATTTCTTACTCACAAACATTTTTAAACGTGGTTAGAAAATCGGCTGTTAGCTAAAASCTGCCTCCTTTGTTCGAGGTTTGTCTCCAGTGCCAGGCTCTTCTTTCTGTGAGCTCCTGTGGTTTCCTGTCCCTCTCCTGTATGCTTCCATTTTGGTTTGCACCTGTTGTCACTTGTGTCCTGTGCTGGTGTTGTTCCCATGTTTGTGACAATGTTTGTGACACCGTCTCTTGGCTAAGAAGGAGCAACCAATTCCTGGTGTGTTCTTACGTTTCTGGAGGAGTTTTCATCTCTAAAGCAGCAAAAAGCTCAGATCTCTTCCTGTGCAGTCAGATTTCCAGGGATTGTTCCATRGCCATTTGATGCCATAAATCAGAATTGAATTATCATAGTGATTCCTGTGAAGTGTAAATTTTTGTGGTTTTGCTCTGCTTCCCCCTGATAGAGAACAAAGCTCCAGGGATTGCTTTTTCTGGTGGTTTGGGCTGGAAGGGGATGATCATTTCCTGTATAATTTCTTAGTCAGACCTTAAAAATGTGGGGAAGCTTGTCTGAACTTCTGACTGCTCTGTGGGCTCCAGCCTTACATGTTAACTCTAAAAGGGTTGTGCTTCTCAGAGCTCTTGAGAGGTTATTGAGAATTTCTTTCCCCCTATGCACTTCTCTTTTTGCAGGGGCAAGGTCTTGATTTGACTGYAAACCGTTCCAGACTTGCCAGATAAACTCTTAAAATTAGAGAGGGTGTGAAATTAGGACACACTTGGCTACGCTAAACAGCGATTGGGTGGTTTCAAGTTGAATTGGATCTCTTTWGATTTTACTTTCGATGGAAAAAATGTGTATTTGCTGGGAAAAAAAGTGTGTGATTAACTGCTTGGCTTCTACTTAATGCTACCACTATGGAGATGGTSTAACAATAATCTGGATCATACACAATTAAAATACAAAGATCAGTCTGCGTTTGGGATGTGTCTGAATTGAGGAAGAAACAATTTCCTTTTGAGTTTTTAAGTAATGTGGAATTATCTTTACATCCGGATGGGAATGTAGGGGATCTGYRTTTGTTTGAGTCCTTTTTCCCAGAATTGAACGTGCTACAAACTTTTYCATTTCTTAGAGAGGCCGGGTAGCAAGCGTGGAAACCTTGTCCTTGTAGATTTTGGGATCACAGAAGAAAAAAAAAGTGAATTCTTGCTATTTAAACAACGGGAATAACAGAGAAGAACTGCCCAGCTCTAATGGTTTTCGAGCCACGTGGTCGATGTTGGCGGGCAGAGCTGGGTGCTTGGAATCAGTAACCAACTGCTTTGGTGCTTTCCCTGCAGATGGAAGATGGGCACTCCCTGTTCGATTACAGCGTGGGGCTCAACGATATTGTTCAGCTCCTGGTCAGACAAAGCCCGGCCGTGCTGCCTGCTGGGAGCAAGGAGAAGGACTCGGAGCTRTCGGACACCGATTCGGGCTGCAGCTCCGGCCCCAGCGAGTCCGACAAAAGCTCCCACAATGGGGAGGGTGCCCTGGAGCTGGAGGGGCAGCCCAGCACWGCAGCTCAGCCCGACTGGACCGACCCCGGTTTTGGTCTCTACAAGGTGGGTCCTTGCCAGCTGAGAGCCCCTAGAGCTGCGCCTTGCCCGGGGAATTGTTCCTCTGAAAATCTTTCACACCCCAATTGTGTGCGCAGTTCCTTTTTTTCCTCTCAAACCCTCCAACAAYAAAGGCAAAAATACCAACCAACCCACAAACCAATTAAATGCAACATGCTGTAGGTCAAAAGACTTCATTTTTTCATTTTATCCTTTGAACTGAAACTACAATACATTAATTGACTAAAAAAAAAAGCATTTGGACTTCCTGGTTTGTTTTTTCAACAATTTTTCCTAAYATTTTTGCTTAGAGTCACTACATTTGTCAAAGCTGAAACTTTTTTGAATGAACAAAAGAAAATCTCAAGCAGCTGTTCAGAATCATTTTATTTCTCTGTTTCAATGGATTTTATTACAGATCTAGTGATGTCTTTGCCAGGCTATGAGCAGGATGCWTTGAAACTCTGTTACAGACTAACCAATAATGGTTTGGGCTCGCTAAAAAGCGTGGTGGTGTAGAATGGATTTATTAATTCAACCTAAGCAGATTGTAGGGCTGTACAACAGGAACAGGAAGGCAGAGRAAATYTTAAAGGTGAYCMGTTAAACATCTTGATAACARTGCARTKCTTGAGATGGTTAAATTTTCAAATAGATTGGAAATGGATGCTTCATTTGCAAATCCCTTTTGATGAACTGAACACTTTGCTCTGTGTAGATCAATGACTTGGTGGATGCTCGGGACACGGACATGGGAGCRTGGTTTGAAGCCCAGGTTGTGAATGTAACCAGGAAAAAGCCTTCCAGTGAATCAGCTGAGACTTGCACGGATCCTGACCAGCCCACAGCTGTGCCTGAAGAAGATGTGATTTATCATGTGAAATACGAAGAGTGAGTTTTGTTTTGTTGCCTTCTTGGCTAATAAAGTCATTCAGGTCATGATGTGGATGGGAAATTTTATTGCAGATATTGCACAAATTAAAACATAATTATGTCATCGAGTGCTGGTTACTGTAAGGTTGTTTTGCAATTGGAATTCCAGGGAGCTGGAATCACATTTTTATGGATCCCAGCATTTATAAGAAATGCTTTTATCCAAGTGTTAAAGGGAGGCAATAGTGGCACAGTCAGACTGGTTGGTTCTGGCTGTGTTTGTGTGGGAGGAGCAGATTTTATTCTTGACRATATTCTTATGTTTCACAGCAAAATCCACCTGTCTGCATAAAACCTCAAAACTGATGTTGATTTTTCTCCTCTGTCCCTCCCTTGAAGTTATCCAGAGAACGGGGTGGTGCAGATGAGCTCCAGTAACGTTCGGGCTCGGGCAAGGACCATCCTGAAGTGGCACCAACTGGAGGTGGGGCAGGTGGTGATGGTCAACTACAACACCGACGATCCAAAGGAGAGGGGCTTCTGGTACGATGCTGAGATCCTGCAAAAAAAGGAAACAAAAATGACCAGGGAGCTCAACGCGAAGATATTATTTGGGTAAGCGAGTTCAGCACGTGGAATCGATGGAATTCCCCAATTTTGTGTCAACTTTCTGCAGTTTGAGTGACTCTGCTGGCAAAAAAAATGGTGCAGCAGAAGTGGTAGGGAGAGGTGAGAAGTGGCCTGTCCTTTTTGGGTGATAACTCATCATCCTGCAGTTCTGATTAGCCTCCATTGAGGAATTGGATGCTTTGAGGAATTCTGATCCATGGAGCTTAAAAGATGCAAAGCCCCATATTCACTGTGAGGCAAAGCATTGTTTATGTGTTAATTATCCATAATGGCTTTACAAAAACTGCAGTGTTGTATTATGTGGAGATATGRTGATGTAGAATGAACTTTCATCTCATAAAGGTGATGAAAAATTACTCCAGYTCTCYCCTGAAGRAGACTCTCAAYTYMRGRAAAAARRTTTKTTTTTYTTTWAAGTTTCAGATWATTTTCTCAGAGTTGCCACAATATTCCTCTTTTTTCCTCTCACCACAATGATTTTGGTTTTTTAACTATAAAATATGAAAAGATTAGTCTGAAATATATGTGAGGACAGGAGGAACWGTCACTATTGATAGTTGGAATGCTCAGGGTTTCTCCCTCAGGCAAGAGTGAGTTAATTCAAATTACATGAAAATGATTTGATTTTTAATACCAGAGCAGTCTGATGCATGCACAGCTGTGAAGTTGTGCTGTGGGACATTCCCAAACTCTKATCTGTTACTTTTCTCACCTTCCTCTAGGGAAGCTGGTGATTCCTTGAACGACTGCACAATTATTTTAGTGGATGAAATCTATAAAATTGAAGAACCAGGCACTGCTTCTCCCATCGATCCTGGTACCCCAAAACGTGAGTTGTGCATGTCTGTCTTACCTTGTGATGTTCTGCTCATTGTCTCTGTGAGAATCAAAGTTTTAAGAGTTCCAAGACACCTTTAATTRTGTCTCTCTGACCATTTCCAGTAGATCTTAACCCTTTCTGAGTGTTCTTTCTGTTTGCTTACAGGACAGAGTGGCCCCGTGTGTAAAGACTGCAAGGACAACCCAAACAAAACCTGCAGGGCCTGCGCTTGTCACATCTGTGGGGGGAAACAAGACCCAGACAAGCAGCTCATGTGTGACGAGTGTGACATGGCCTTCCACATCTACTGCCTCGACCCTCCCCTCAGCAGAATTCCTGATGAGGACTGGTGAGTTCTGAGAAAGTGTGGGGGGATAGCACAATTAATTGCATCTAATTAGGAGCAGGAAGTGAGGTCTGGGGTTTGAAGCTGCCTTTTGGTGGCAATATTGTGGCTGTATAGGGTGGGTGTGTTTTGGGTTTTTTTTGGGAGAAATTTCAWAGCTTTTCTTGAGCTTAGTGAGAGTAGGTTTTAAGCCACTCTCCTTTTCCTGGTTTWGGGATCCAGATGCCTGTTTTGGTGTYKGCCCAAGGCCAGGCTGGATGTTGCTTGGAGCACCCTGAGATAGTAAAAGGTGTCCCTGCCCATGRCAGRGGGTGGAAYRAKATGATCTTTAAGATCCTTCCAACCCAAACCAGTTYGGGATTCAAAGAGAAATGGAGGTGCCCAAGGACCAGATGAGAACCTTGTGCAGTGGCTTTTCTGGTCACTACAGCAGGCCCCAGAGCCCATCATCACATCAGGCTGGTTTGTAGATAAAATATATCCAGTGACAGATATGGATAGTGAAATCCATCTTTAACAGAYACAGAGTTAGTGAAATGCACTGGTTTGTCCCCTCTGCCCTGTTCCAAGAGTTTATACTGTGATTTTATGAGGCAGCTGTTTCCTGACACATCTGCAGGGCTTGGTGAAAGGACAGCAGCTRATCCAGGTCCAATTCCACTGTGGAGAGTGTTTCCATGTCCTGTCTGGTTTCACCTGGGGAAATTGTAGCATAACTCACTGTGTTTGGAGGAAATTCTCCTAAYTGAAGGCTGCTTGTTAATTTTCACTGACTTTAGGTATTGCCCTGAATGTCGAAATGACACGAGTGAGGTGGTTTTAGCAGGAGAGAAATTAAAAGAAAGTAAAAAGAAACAAAAGATGGCATCTGCTAATTCCTCCTCCCAGMGAGACTGGGGCAAGGTCAGTCCAAAGCTGTTTTCCTTGGAATTGTGTCTGTCCCTTTGGGTTCTTGGCTGACCTTGCTCTCTGCCCAGGGCATGGCGTGTGTTGGGCGCACCAAGGAATGCACCATYGTCCCCTCCAACCACTATGGACCAATTCCTGGCATCCCCGTTGGCACCATGTGGAAATTCAGAGTTCAGGTAGGAAGCTGAATCCTGCCCTGACCTACTGTAGAGAAATTTGGGAATGATCCAGCTCTTACAATGAACCTGAAACAGTTAATGTGGAAATGTGTGTGCTACTGGATATGGAAGTGCAGAAGGAAAAGAATTCTGGCTTTGTCTGGATCAAGTGTTCCATAACTAATGTTGCATTGTCTGAGCCCATCAAGTGCTGGTTTATTTTGCTTTAGTGCTCTTTTTGGTAACTCCAAAAACCCAAAGCAAAYATATTTGTTTCCAGTAGTTTATCCTGGACTATCCCCTGGTAAGGGTTCACCAAATATCCTCACGTATTAAACAGAAGGTTTCTCATCCTGTTAGAAAGTTGGGGTAGAAAAAAGCACTGGGCCTGTCCAGATCTTGTTTTCAGGTGTTGAGTAAAAATTGCTATTACAACTCTTTCAAAACTTTATATAAATATTTAATATCTATATTAATCTTGAATCCCTTGAGTCTTTTAATGAGCAATCCCAGTAAGATCGAAAATTTTTAATTATCTCTGTGTTCAATTTACCGATACAATCAATGCCTTATTTTTAGAAGCGTTCTATTTTTCTTCTGTCTGGAGCTTTTTGAAGGATAATGCTGAGAACAGTTTCACTCTGTACAAATGTGAAACAGCACAGTTAGTCCAGCTCTGAGCCCATCCTTTTTGGAGCCTTTCCAAACTCTGTTTTGTTTTGCAGGTGAGCGAGTCTGGGGTGCACAGACCCCACGTGGCTGGGATCCATGGCAGGAGCAATGATGGGGCCTATTCCTTGGTGCTGGCAGGAGGATATGAAGATGACATAGTGAGTGGATTCTSATTATTTATACACAGAATCAAATGAATTTGTTAAAACAAAGGCTTTGCCTTTGTTACTTTTTACACTCTACACCAAACACTTGCCCATCTTCACTTATTTTCTTCAGAACTACAGCAATCTGTGCCAACCTSAGCCACAGGATCATCAAAACCCAGTTTTCTAAACCTCCTTCATTAAAACTTCTGCTTTAACTGAATTATTTTTGTGACTGTGCCAAACCATTTGTGTTCATTTCAGGATCATGGGAATTCYTTCACATACACGGGGAGTGGAGGGCGAGACCTCTCTGGGAACAAACGCACGGCGGAGCAGTCCTGTGATCAGAAGCTCACCAACATGAACAGGTTGGCAATGTTTGTGCTCCATTCTGCTCCCCAGGACTGGCAATCTGTCAGCACGAGGGATTGTTTGTCCTGTTTTTATCCAGAGAAGGTGGTTAAGTGGTAAAAATGTTAAAATTGGGTCTGGGCTGTGCAGGCTGCAGATCAGCTGCACGATGGGAATATGAATCCCATATTTCAGTGCACTGTAATGGGACAGAACTGAGTGGTGTTAGTGCAATGCTGGCTGAAACTTAAGGAAAAGAGCAGRRAATTTGATGGAGGAGTTTTGCAGCCCCTGGTCACCTTGGGAGAGCAGACAATTTGTCATTTTGAGCTGTTGCTCTTACAGGTAAACATGGGCTTGAGTGGAGAAGTGATCTGGGCTGTTGCATTTGGGTAACACCACGAATAATCAGCCATTTAAAATATGCCCCCATCAGGAGGTTTAATCAGTGTTTTATACATTTGACAAAAAGCCATTTCCTGCTAATTTTGTATCCCAAAACCACAAGGCTGCTTAGAGCCAAGAGTTTGGACTCRCTGGACTTCTCTTAGGGAAGGATTTATTCAGCCTTTCCCAKGGATCTCAGARCTGTTTCTATCCAACTCCGAGTTAYCARCCTTGCACAAATTACAAAGAATTGTGATTATTTAAGTCAAACTGGACTGTTTTGCAGAGCTCTGGCCCTGAACTGCAGCGCCCCCATCAACGACAAGCACGGAGCTGAGGCCAAGGACTGGCGGGCGGGGAAACCGGTGCGGGTGGTCAGRAATGTCAAAGGAGGAAAACACAGCAAATACGCTCCCCTGGAGGGCAACAGATATGATGGCATCTACAAGGTGAGGGATCTGGGATCCCTGAGTTAGGGATGTGATTATGGCCAGGRGGGTTTATAGGATGTGATGGATTTGCTGATTTTTACAGGTGGTGAAATATTGGCCCGAAACGGGGAAATCGGGATTTTTAGTCTGGCGTTATCTGCTTAGGAGGGATGATGAAGAACCTGCTCCTTGGACCAAAGAGGGGAAGGACAGGATGAAAAAGCTTGGCCTGACAATGCAGGTACTCCCCTGGGGTATCACCTGGGCTCTGAGCTTGATAAATAGCAGGGATTTCCTGGGACATCACCAGAACTGGTTGGATAGCAGGGATTTCCTGGGACATCACCAGAACTGGATGGATAGCAGGGATTTTCTGGGACATCACCAGAACTGGATGGATAGCAGGGATTTC